GTGAACTTATAGATGGCAAGCAAATATTTTGGGCATAATTCTTCACTGTTCTTGTCAACCTGAACAAAAATATAAAGGAGAACATCAAAATACCTGCACCTGTACAGCCTCTGTGCTGGGAGAGCTGAGGCATGGCAAGCAGACCAGACTCTGAGAGTTTTCTGGGTGCCACTTGTCAGCTGGTGCCCACAGAGCCCACTGTGTCTCTAAATCAAACAAAACCCAGACATCTGGCAGGGTCTAGCCCTTAATGATGGGGCTACTACTGCTCTCTGCTGGTGCAGAGTCACACAGGGAAACACTGCTGAACCAAGCCAGCTCTGTAAACAAGTGCTGCTGCCTAGAGCTTTGCAAAGAGTGGGCATTCCCCTTCTGACATTTTCAGCCTTTGTTTTTCTTTCTGATTTTAATTCTCAAAGAGCCAACATAAAAACTAACTACTAATTGCTGTTCTATTATAACGTACAATGAGCATCAATTTTAAGCAGAACTCCTAAACAAGGTTATATTGGCTTTTCAAAAATAGCACAATAAGGAATATAAAAAATTATAAAATCAAAGGAATCATGAGGAATTGTATCACCTATAGTACACCATGTTGTTGATGTTATGCAGAACAATCCACTAACATTCAATTCTGACCAAAACTCAGTATCGTGACATCTATATGGTGGGTGTATCTTGCAAGCCAAATAACTGCCCATTTTACAGGGGAAAAAACTCACTTAAGAGAGACATTAAGGCTTCCTTTTAGCAAATTTCTACTTCTAACTGGAATGAACATGATGTCCCCTTAAGCTGCAGCTCTTTACCACAGCCTCAATCAACATACACAACTTGTAAAATTTGCAAAAATATCCTCAGGTTTACTGTGTTCTTTGCCCTCATAAACTAAATAGAGTATCAGTCTATCTCATTCCTCCCTAAACATCTTGCTATCACAAAACCACCCACTGAATAGTCCTGCTAGGTAGAAAGTTGTAGGTTAGTAGCTTTTGAGTAAGATCTCTTGTGAATGCCTCTTGTAGCTGAATATTTTCATTTTACAGTTCCCTGCTCCTGTGTGGACAGGATTTTCACTCAAGGGTAAACAGAGCTAACAGGTTTGATAAATGCATGTTCAGCATGTAAGTGCCCTTTGATCTTAGGCCTCAGAGGATCCTTATATGTGCTACTTCAGAATTTGTGATTTGTTTTTAATGGGTTGTAGCAAGGATAAGAAGCTTTCACAATGTTCATCCTCAGAGTGTCATTGTCTTGTGATTTATGTGCCACTCCTATGTTTTTAAAATGTTACAGAAAAGGGTCTGTATTTATGGCAGGTTTTCTGTGATGTTACAGAAAGTGGTTTCAGAACATGTAATGCATCACATAGGCACACATTGTAAGAAGGGTATGGTACCTGAGTGTCTTGCCACTTTCTTTCACATTAATCAGATTTAAATGTCCCAGCCGATGAAGGAATGGACTGAAGAGATTTTAACTCCATCTGTTAGGACAAGTGGCTGACTCAGAGTTGAGAATGAGCATGACCTTTCCTCATCAGTATTCTCTTAGGGCTAATGTAGAGAATCTTGTAATCCTCAGTGAGGAAAAGTAAACCTTTGATGTTTCTTGAGTGGCCTTTCTGGCCACTTGGTCCCCAGTACAGCTGTAGTGCATAGAGCAGGTTTCACACTGTTGGAGACACCTTTTCTTCATCATTCTCAGCTTGTGGGATCAACTTAGTTCCTAGCTAAGGCAAAAATTGCAGTTAGGTTTAGCATTGGAATGGCTTCTATTATTTCTAGGGCAGACAAATTCCTGGGAAAAATTTCAGAAACCTCTGGCTATCTTTTCTCTGGAAGTCATGTTTCATGTTCCATCTAATCTCAAAAATTTGTTTTCTTTGTGAAAAATTCTTTTCAACCACAAAGTGTGTACATAGCAAAAAAAGGATAAAAAGTCACCATGTACTAAACTCACATGGCAGATATCACAGTCTTCACTCTTCCTGTCCTCCACTACAGCCTGTTCACCATGATCCTCCTCACCCCTCACTTTTTGGCCCTTCCAGGGAATTCAGGCCGAGTTCAGGTTGCTGCAGGGCTGTGCAGGGTCAGGTTTCAGTGCAGGTGCCAGTGCAGGTTTGGCCCTGCTGACCACGGGTGGGTGTCTGAATCCAGGAGCTCAGTGACTCCACAAGGTACGTTCAGAAATACTTAATGACCTTAAAGGATTAGCCAGGATTGAGAGGGAAGTGATCCTGCTTGGTCTCTGGGGCAGCTCAGCCCAAGCAGGTGCAGGTGAGCTGGGTTTCACCCCATGCAGTAAGAGCTGCCACCCTTGGGCCCTGCATCCCTCTGTGTATCTGGAGGAAGGAATTAGAGGCACCGCAAGCCTGCACTCCTGGGAATGTCTTGGCTGCTGCTCCTGCCTGGCCTGGGGCTGTGGGTGACAGCAGCAGCCCCTGGAATGGCATTGTTTGGGATACAGGCACAGGGTGAGGTGCCTGCAGCACTGCTGCACACAGCACTGGGTGCAGGCACCCATCCCAGCCCAGCTCACTGTGGTGTCACGGGGTCACAGAGCTGGCTGGGCTGCAGGAGATCCCGAGCACTCTGACCTGTGCTGCTCCCCCAGCGTGTTCCTCAGTGCCCTGGGGTCCTGGTGACACTGCCTGCAGCCTCTTCTCTCGGAGGATCATGAGCTGAAAGCTCACTCCTGTCACGGGGCACACTTAGGCCTCCCAAACCTCGTCCACATGAGCTGGAAACCCAATCTGAGCAGTCTTACCTGTATGAGCTTTGAGGTTGTGGTGTAAAACCTGTTTGATTTCTCAGGCTTTTGATGAAGAATATGTTTGAGATATATTTATTCATGGATTTTTTCTTAGAGACCTTGGCTTTTATTATGCTATCAAGGGATCAGGAATTAATGTTGATGTCACCATAGTTCAAATTATTCATTTCAAATTAGATTTATTACTGGAAATGAATCCAGAATCCTTACCACTGGAAATGCATTACTTACAAACAAGGAATTAATCAAGTGAAGCACTACAAATGAGGCTGCAGCAGAAATCCCAGCAATGCAAAATGTATTTTGGCTCTTCACATCCCACTTCTTTTGGGAGACCTACAGACCCTGATTGCCCTGCTCATGCAGACAGCTTGCAGGATGCTGCTGTTCAGTGGCCAAGTTCCCTGCTCTAATTAAATTAACTAAAACACAGGGAGTTTATGGTGAAAATTAGGTTGAAATATATTAAAAAATAAAAAAGACAAAGGCAGAAAGAAATCCTTTATCAAGGATTCTGTTTTAAAAGTAGGTGTTATTTCAAGGCCAAATTTCAAATTTCAGTTGAATATTTTTAGAACTCTGTCATGCTCTAACTTCAGCTGGCAAATAAGTACCACACAGCTGCTTGGTCACACACACACCAAAACCTGCATTGAGATGGAGAAGAGAATGAGGAAAAGGTAAAGTCTGTGGGTTGATACTAGAACAGTTTAATAACTGAAAGTAAAATATAATAATAATAATAATAATAATAATAATAGCAATAATAGTAACAATAATAATAATAAGGAGAGTGATAAAGGGAGAGAGGAATAAAATCTAAGAAAACCAAGGGATGCTCAGTGTGGCTGCTCACTACCTGCTAACCCATTCCCTGTCTGTCCCTGAGCACCATCAAACCCTCCTGGCCAATCACCCCCAGTCACTTTCCTGGGCATGATGTTCTGTGCTATGGAATGTCCCTCTGGCCAGTTCAGGTCAGCTGTCCTCATGTCCATGCATGCATCTTGTGGCATCTCTCACTGGCAGAGCATGAGATGCTGAAAAGTCTTGGATGCAGGATCAGTGCTACTGAGCAAAAACTAAACCATCAATGTGCTATCATTATTCTTGCACTAAATGCAACACTCAACACTGTGGCAGCTACTCGGAAGAAAATTAACTCTATCCCAGCTGAAACCAGGAAAAAGTCCCATTCTATTTAAAATAGTCAAATATTTCCTGTAGTTAGTCATAATGAACCAACAGGAGTTAAGGGAGAGCAGCTCTGCATTAGCAAGATCTTTGTGTAGAGAAAGGTGCTCTGTGCCAGAGTCCCAAGGATGTGCTTTTGCCATGAGAACTGTGGGTTTACATCTGCTCTGCAGTGGTAGAAGTTACTGCTACCATTCCTCCTGAGTAGCAGTATTATTAATCACATTTTAAGAAAGTGTCATATTTAATTATAAACCAAAAATGTTTCAGCTTGCCTTTGTGACTTAGGCAGAAACTAACAGTCATTATAATTTTTAATTTTTTTTCTCCTTAGGGATTTACAAAACTTGCCTCCATCTTATTGTGTTTAATTTTTCTCAGACTGGGAATTTTGTCAATTTTTTATGTGTGCAGTTTTTATGCATATGTCCCTTAGCTCTCCTAACAAAACAGTATAATTAAACATTCAGATTTGCACTGCTCTTCATCATCCACCATCTAACTATGGGGAGGTTTGCTTTTGTTGAATAAATGGCATGTCACTTTCAGTTGTTTGTGTAACATAAATACAAAACAGAATGTAAATTATGTATTGATACTGTGTAAAGGTATAGTTTTCTTTAGGCTTCAATTACAAATAAGTCAGTTGTCTGTTATGTATTAACTTTTTTCATCCTATCACTAGAAGACTCAGGATACTGAGGTGTCCCCAGTTTCCTGAGAAGTGCTGATTGCCTGCTCTAGTGGAAGATTTTGCTGCCTATGGCATCAGGGATGGAACTAGATGTTCTTTAGGGTCTCTTCCAAACCAAAGAATTCTATGAGTCTATGATATTGATTTAAGTAGGAATGCAACTTTGATTCCAATAGGATTTATCAGCAGCTGTCATCTTTGTAGAGCAGGAACAATTTTTTTTAATCTTCTTGTATCTGGAAGGTCTGTGTTGCTCTGCAATGCTTAAGCTGTACCCAATTAATGGTACAGCCAATGGTAATGATGCTAATGGGTGTCTAACTGATATTGATTCTTACCTAGAGGGGCTTTTTTATTTCAGCCAGCACATCAGATGAAGAGAGGAAAGTGGAGTGAAGCTCTGAGCAAGGGAATTAATGGTTAGAAAAGCCCACAGTCTTTCAGATTTTCTTTGATTATTATGTCTGTGACTGCATCAAAAACAAATTTGACATTCTGGGTGTCTGTGGCACAGGTCAAGTGACAATATATCTCTTTATCTTGTTTCCTTATGTTCAAGTCTAGAAATTGTTTCTTGATGTAATTTGCAGCATCTTCAAACGTGTTTTGTCCTGGTGGAAAGAAAAGTAAAAGCAAAAGAAGACACATTTTGACTGGCAGGTCCTCACAACTGCAAAGAGACAAGAAATATTTTCTACCTTTTTTTTTTTTTCTTTCTATTTTAATTAACTTCATGCATTAGGTGTGAAAATTTTTTATCTAAACTAGTTTTTCTCTTGCAATTTCTGACACATATTCTCTTGCATATGAGATGAGTTGAATTCTGGCCATGTCTGTCTCATACCATTCTTTCATGAGAAGATGCTTGGATAAGAGGCTTAATATTTAAAAGCTTATATATTGATGACCTGAGTCAAAGTCTCGGTCTTTAATGCATGGACCACACTAAACATCTAAATGTGCTTTCTCCCAGACACTCCAAACTTACCATTATACTCAGGAAAGCAGATATTCAGGTGAACTTTTGTTATTTTCTCTTGAAAGAGGTCTTTTTTGTTTAGGAACAGCACAATGGAAGTGGCTGCAAAGCACTTATGGTTGCAGATGCTGTTGAACAGATGAAGGCTTTCATGCATTCTGTTCTGTTGAGGTGCAAAAGATAAACATAAGACTGACAAATCCCATCCCCATATGTCATTTTACTGCAATGTTCTTTACTGGAAAGAACCAATACAGTGTAAAAGCCTTTAAATGGTTATCAGAGAATGGGAATGTACCATCAGAGAGTACATTAAAACTTAGAAGCAAAAAGGGCTTTTTGTCTGTTCTGACTCACCACTTCTTTATCTTCCACCAGAACCATGTCATAGGCACTGAGTGCAGCACAGAATATGATGCAAGTAACTCCTTCAAAGCAGTGAATCCACTTTTTCCTCTCTGATCGTTGTCCACCCACATCAAACATCCTTTGCAGAAAAAGTAACATATGTACAGTGTAAAGCACTAATAAGGATGTAGTCACGTTTTTAATGCACAGAGTTCAAATGGAGATGAACAATACCCAGTTTTCCCAAATATTGGTCTGTTTCTACCCCAAGAGGTCAAGGAGTGCTTTGTTGCTCATGGTTTTTTAGTGGGTATAAAATGAAATAAAAAGGCTTAAATACCTGCATTTAGGATTAATAGTACTTTGATGTGGCACTTTGTTTTGAGGAAGTGGGGCTCAGTGAAGGACTAAGACTTGCAGGCTAGGATTTATTTAGGGCAGAGTTCTGAGACATTGACAGCAGACCCTCAAGCTCGGTGTCATTTACCAATTCATGGTTTTGCTTGCAGTGAACTGACATATTGACCATAAGACATTCAGCTGAAGGCCAGTCACACATTGACCCCTGGTTGTTCATGAATAGATGTTGCCATCTGCTCACTGCCCTGGAGTGATCACTGAGCTCACCACACAGCCTGCATCACACCTTTGGAGGGTCTCTTCCCTGTCCATCTCATCAGCTGCTCTTAAGCAGCAGTTCCTGGAGAGCAGGAATCCCTTCCTTTGTACAGTGGGAATTGTAGGGCTCTCCTTCTCTGCAATAATTTCCTTCCATCTTTGCCAGGAATTGCTACTGCCTTTGGGTAGTGTCACATGAACTTTCTATGGACTCTCTGTGGGATCCAAAGCCAGCTGGGCACACCTAGCTGGGAACTAGTTAGGGCCCTTAGCCCTGGCTCCCAAAACTCACACTTGGATTTGCAGTTCTTCAGTGACAAGGGCTAGGGCTTCCTTTTCACTGTTCTTCTGAAACAAAAGGTGCTAAACTTGAAGATTTTTTAAGTGCAATAGAAAGCAGGGAAAAAAATAAAACAAAAATCAAATTTATCCTGCCCTTAGGTTTTCTGTTTCCTAGTGTGCCTGATGACTTTTCCCTTTGTTGCTGGTTGTTGAACTTAGTACCGTAAAAACTAATGGTTACCCCTTCCTTCAAGAATATGCATTAGATCTCTGGATGCTGCAGTATCTGAAAATTAAACACAACTCAACAACTCTTATAGCAACAAATACAATGGGATTCAGTAAGAAAAAATCATGTCAGTAGTAAACAGAATAAGAATAATTTGTTACTGAAACATTGTTTTTTGCGGTATCTTAATCCTTTGTTTCCTTCACCATCAGCAGTGCAGTTGATGTTTAAAAAAGGTTAATTTTTTGTAATTTTTCATCCTTCTAAGAAAAAAATGAAACCCTTTCCAATGCTCATAGTGTTTCTTCATCTGAAGAGTAGTATTTTTTTTTTCTGGTACATTTCATCTCTTTTTTTATTGGGTGTCTATAAAAGTGAATTATTTTGGAAATGGGGAAATTGTTGTGGAAAAAGATTTTGATAATAGTAATGGCATTCTTTCAAGCATATCTTCACTGAGCTCAGAAGGTCTGCTGAGGAGTGGGGTCAACACAAATAATGTGTCTTGACTTTTGTCTCTGATTAGTACTCAAAAGTCTCCTATAATTACATGCCTTTCTTGATTTGTGGTGTATAACTGAAATGAGGGTTATGGCAGGAAAAAAAAAATTAAAACTTCAAAATTTAATCTTCAGAAAAGTTTTGTTTCAGTATAAATAATCATGTGAAGGAGTATTCACTTCCTTTGACCTTTTAGCTTATGGCTCTTTGAATGTTCATGAGAAGTCAGTTAAAAAGGACAAGACCAAGGCCAGAGGTAATGTTAATGGGCAGATTTTCTTCTTCTAACCTTAGTTTGCTTCTCTCCTCTCAGCCCAGAACTTAACACTTGCACATGTAAAACCAAAGTCCCTCCATAAATGATAGAAAATTAGATTATCTTATTTTACTAAGATAGTCAAAGTTAGTCTAGAAATCTCTATATTTTCCCAGAATTTCTCTTGAAAAGCTTAGCTGAAGATACAGAGTTAGCTATAAACTCATTCAGTGGTACACACAGAGGCCTGAAGATTGAAATAAAGCTTGACTGATTTCAGTCAAACTCTTCCTAGCACACCAATAGAAAGGACACTAGAAGATGACATACCATAGATCATAGATCAGATCTTTTCTGAAAAAACATTTAAATATGTTCTAAGTCAACATTATTGAAATAAATTGAAAAGCACATAGAAGCTAAATTGCACTAAACCAACAAAGTAACCACTAAACAAGGAGCAAATAAAAATCGATGTTTTCTGTGCAACTGTAATTCAGTTCCCTGGAGCGGTACTGGGATTTAGCCTTTTACTGCACAGATACAAAATATTTCATGTCTCATTCAATTCAGTAAAGGGACAAGTGTTTAGTAAATGAGGCATCTGTTCATGGGCTTCTTGTATCCATGCGTGGCTTGTGACCTGACACCCCATCAGTGCATCAGCCAAAACTCACTCTGAATGTGTAAGTGCTCCTCTCATTTGAGATGTTTCTATGGTATTTACCAAACTTGGTGCAGACACATCAGGATCCTCCTGATGTTTTGCTTTGCTATGGCAATGCAAAGTAGTAGTACCTGGCTGGTTAACATGGATTTATAATTCTGTACCACTTCAGCAGCTCAAACCCCTCAGACTCCTTTGTAGAGATTTTACCTGATATTACTCAACTGCCTAAAGCCACCAATGAATTTGCTCACATAACATTACTGTGATGCACAGCAGAGAGGGTGAAAACAGCAGGTTTGTGTTTGTGATGTCATTAAGAGTGTTCCTCTTTTTTGCAGACACTCAAGTAACTAAATTCCCAGTTGTGCTGCATTTCAGCTAGACCCAAACACTAATGCTGATATTCTCATATCAGGACTGATGGCATCCATGTCAATGATGATTTCCCTCTGGTGGTTTATTTCTCCACCCTGAATTTATTTCTTTCATGAACTATGACTGTAACTGAAGGCATTCAAGTTTCCAGTGTTCAAAGCTGTCTGGAAATATGTTAATCAGAGAAAAATAAGATGATGTAGATGAAATTGCACTGTATCATTTGCTGGAAACTCATGAATTTTCATGAATGACCAGAATATTGATAGATGATAATAAGTTATTTGTAAGACATCTACCTCAGAATCTCATTTTGTATGTGTAGTCTCTGTTGTGTTAAAGCATCTGCGTGGTAGCATAGATGGTTTGGGGAATGCTTAATTGGCACATGAGGAGAAAGAAAGAAGCCAAATGAAAAATGTAAAAGTTATAATCCTCATGCTTTATAAATCTGTCTGTCTCTACAGGCAGTTTCTTGTCTAGACTGCATTCCTCAATATGTGCCCCAGCCTTTAAATTAAGAATTAAATGGATTTCAGTCCACAGAGAAAAGCATTATAGAACTCTGAAATGATAATAATTCATTCAAACTGTTTTCATGTGCAATTAGATGTTTTTAATTGGTTCACCAAGCATAACTAGATCTTGAATATCTGGAAGTGAAAAACATTCAGTCAAATTTCTCAGAGGCATTATTTTCAAAATTTTTTTCTGAACCTTTTGGTTATCATCTTAAATGAGCATGAAGACATGCTTGATAATGCTGAAATTTCTCATGGGACAGATTTTTTTTTTTTTTTAGCCAACTGTAGTGCATTCCAGTGCTAAAAGCAGTTATTTCCACTCTCAAAAGAAGAGTGAAAGGTTGAGAGTGCATGTAAATTGGTAGACATCAAATGTTTTTTGCATGCTCTTAAGGATATTTAAGTAAGCAAATTTCATAAATGTCACAATTACTCAAATGGCAGGATATAGCTAAAGCTTTTTAGACATTTACATATGTAAAAATGTCCTTTTAGAACCTAGTATTCTGTGACCTGTTTATAATGGTCCATTATATGCTCAAAGTTGGAGTACTGATGATAAAACCTCTTTCTTTTTTCAGTTGTGTAAAACTGTTAAATTAAACTAGATTCAATGATATCACAATGATATCACCTGTGTCAATAAGGTGATAATAAATCAATACCTGTGAAAGAAAATACTTTAGAAAGATAAACCCCAAGAAGACTGCAAAATATGGCATTCATACCTGAAGTTTAAATCCTTGAAAGAAAACTGAGTCTCTATAATCCCAGTGGTCTGCACTCGGGAGTGCAGGACATCTTGCTCAGTAGGGACATAGTCTGGCATTGCCAACCTATCCAAATCATTGAGGTAACTAGGGAGAATAAGAAAGAAATGGTGGTTGGTGAATTCAAAAAGTGAAATGTCCATTACATAATCACTCCACACTGAGGCACTTTTAAATACATTATGCAAATTACACATTTAAATACAGTACTTTGGTTTTTGTTCAACTGAGTTCCACAATTCAGAGCTTTTATTTTTTTTTTTCTGGTACATAGAAGTGTAATTCAATTGCACATAATAAAAGACCTTTCTGAGAATTGCAGCAAAGGAAAATCCTTATTTTCCTTAGGGATGCTTGAAAACCACCTTGTCACCAAAGTGGTTTTGACCATTTTTCTCTCAGCGAGTGGGAATTGCTACCTCAGGGGAAGAATCAGAAGCATCCTGCAGAAACAGATGCATAAGGAATCACCTCAGCCTGTCAGACTGGTTGCAACAGTATTTTCCTTCCTAAGTGAAAGGGAAGGAATAGTATTTTGGAGGAATTCACTTTGAATGCTGTTTTCCCTGTAGATCTCTCAATTTACAACAACAAGGTACATGGTGATTTTAAAAAAATATATATTTTTTAGTAAAAACCAAAAGCTTCAATAAAGCTGAGGATCCCCTGGGTTAGTGTTCTGATGAGCCCTTGAAAAACTGGATTATCTGCTTTTACTTCTGGTATACAGAGACAAAATCTGCATAATATGAGAACCCAAACCAGATCTTTGAAACATGTTTTTGTCCAACACTTCTGTCTCTTCTAGGGGCAGACAACTTTCTTTAAATGACTGGGCAGAACCTCTGAATCCTACTGGCTGGTCTGGGAATCTGTGTAGAGGGGTTTTGAGCTGACAAAAGGAGAAGAAAAGGTGATGCCTGAGTAACTTCCTGCATTTTAGCCACAAATATTTAAACAAAGACCAAAGCAAGAAACCACACAACAGCTGGAGCATTTTCAGTGTCCAGTTGGCACCTTCCTATTTGTAGTCTCATGTCTCTGACAAACAAAACACTATGTCTCTAATGTCTGTTAGGCTCCATGCCTTCTTTTTTCCTCTCTACACTAAGTCTGCGCTGCTCAGTTCTGCTGCTCAGTTTAACCAGAATCTTCCAAAAGAAACCTCAAAGATCATCATCTTTGTGTGCAATATTTGATAGATCTGTTTGGTAGTTTCAGAGTTAATTAAAAAAAATAAAAAAATAGAATAATAAAAGGAAAGAAAATAAAAATTAAAAAAGCTTGAATCTTTCACTTGGATATTTCCAAGTAATGTCTGGAAGTGGGATTTCTTATTTTAAGTCAAACAAACTTCATCCAGTCTGCAAGGGATGTTGAACCTGATCTGAGTAATTCAATGTTTCCCATTATTTGAGGCCAGGAAACAATCTGTTGGGAAAAGAAAAAAAGAAGCTATATATCTCTGTTTCTCTGAATAGGGGGCCTGAGGCAAGCTCAGCTCACCTTTGTGGAAGGCAGAAACAAAAGGCGTTTTGTTGTCTGTAAAGCATGTAAGCACTAAAATAAACACTTGAATATAAAATAAAATTCTGATAGTTCTTAGCCACAAATGCCTAAATTCAATTGAACACAGAGAGCTGTAATTGCAGAAAAAATTAGACCAAGTCAATTATCTAGTTAAAGGAGTAGGAGGCAATTTCAGTCTCCCTAGAGCCGTAGGCAGCTCCAAGGAGAGACTGCAGACCAGCACTGGGAAAGGAGAGAATGGAAACTGGTAGGTCGGTAAATGCTGGTCTTTCCTTGGCTTGGAGGAGGTGACAGGACTCCTGTCCCAAGAGGAAAATGATTGAGCTAGCAAAATGCACCATGTAGTACTGGTAGCTGTACAATGACATATAAAGTCACAATTTATAATCCCAACCTTGCCCCTTCCACAGCCATCATTCCATTTTAAAACAGAATTAGTTACAAGTGAGTTTAAGAGAGAAATTCCAGCCAAGTTTGACAAAGAGGAAATTTTTCTATTATTCATGCATGCCAATTTTTTTTTCAGTTAAAGCACACAAAGGAAAAGCAGTGATGAAACTTCATTAGCATGAATTAACAGTGAAATATCCCAGAGGAGATAACCTCAAAAAGCCAGTTTACACAGTATTAATCAATAGCCTTTGTAGGATTTGATTCACAGCTGCTGAGAAACAGGGTTGTGGGTTTAAAAGAAATTTAACTGCAGCATTAGATGGTTGATTGACTGTAGTTGACCTTGAACTTATCATTAGAAACTCAGCAGCAAGGGCAAATATTAAGTTGATTTTAATGGTTCAGAGCCAAATTTCAGAAGCATCAGGTATCAAAAGATGAAGACAGAGAAGCAGGATTTTCAAGAAATTAGCAGAAATGTTCAAGCAGATGAAAAACATCACTGTAGTTGTTTTTAATGTAAGTCTAGAAAGAAATAATAACTACAAATACGATTTATATTAATTCCCTTAAATATTGAAACATATTGCAAGTTACAACAGGACACAAACAGTAACACTGAAAGGAAATTAATTCAGGTTCTTCTATCTACTTTGTAGACAAGAAAACCTTATTTGCCAGGCAGAGTCTACACAAAAGAATGTTAACTGATAAACAGTGTTTAGTTGGTTTTTTTGTTTGTTTTGTTTTGGTTTTTTTTTTAATTTAAGAGGCAGTTTTCCTTTTACTTGTTATGACTAGCTTGTTATGGGCTTTTAGTGGGTAAGGCAGTGGAGCCTGTCAGAAGGGGTACATTAGAAAAAAATTTCTCTGTACCATTCTTATAAAAATACAAAGCTGCTATAAAATACTGTCAAATCAGGCACAAATCAACATAGGCAGCATTTTCTTTGTTTAGGGCTCTTACAAAAGGTCTTCATTCTTGTTTAGAAGATATAAAGTGATGAAGAATTTTTAATATTTTTTCTGCATATTCCCTGCACTATATCTACAATTACTGAACTATGGATGCCTTCAGGTTGCCTCCTGAATCCCAGCATTCAGCCATGCCTTTCTTTTCCTGCCTGCAGAAGGGGACACCCAACACCTCGGAAAGCTGCACCCTGCAGGTGTCCTCAGGCTGTAGGAGGAGCTCCAGGAGTGGGAAAACCTCCACCTCCAGGTCTCAGAAGATGGATCTCGGCTGGAACAAACCTCTGCCCCTGGTCTGGACAGGCTGGAGCACTCTTGGAAGACTCTGACCCAGTGACACCTCCCTTCATGGCCGACTATGAGCTGAGTGAGAAGGCAGCTGGACTGCAGCCTGCAGGAACAGCTGCAGGAACAGGCCAGGGACTCCTGAAAAGTCTAAAGTCACTGGCTGCACCTGAGGTGAGATGTGCCCCAGCTGGATGGTGATCCTTTGTAGGGTTGAGCAGCCCTAGTCAGCCCCCTGCTTATGTGTCTGGCAGCCCCCAGGGCTCAGAGAGGGAGCTGGGGCTGTCAGGCTGGAGACTGGTTCAGATGAGGGGGAATGGTCCAGGGAACACCTGTGCATACAGCCGGGTTAGTTTAGAGGAAAGTTTGTATAGTTTCTGCTGGATTTATACTTAGCATCTTGCAACATATACAAAGTATCACCCTAGATAAAACCTAAGCTGCTTCAAGTCACCTTTCCCTCATTTTGTCAATCCTAGAAATACACAGAGGGAAAATATACTTTTTTTTTTGTTGTTTACTATTTGTAAAGTTTTACCATTCTGTAAGTTTTTCACCAAAAACTTACTGAAACAAATTGTTTCTGAAACCTTGTTTTCACTTGTTTCCTCCCATTAACCATTTCTGTTATATTATAAACCTTAGCAATCCCCTCGTTTTTTCAGGTTAATGAGCAATGTTTTTCGCAGGCCATTCTGTGTGGGGGCAGTCATTGTGGCAGCAGCAGCCAGCTGTGCAGCAGCCAGCTGTGCAGCATCCAGCTGTTCAGGAGCCAGCTGTGCAGCAGCCAGCTGTGCAGCAGCTGGTGTCACCTACTAGGCTGCCGAGTCGCTGAGCTGGTACTCGGCCGCCCTGGCGAAGCAGGCCTGCGTCCCCCCGTCACGCCACAGTTGTTTGATGAGCTCAACCAGTTCAGAAGACATGCTGCCATCCTCCAGAGTTGTTGCCATGGAACACAGCTTCCTCTCGTCTTCCTAAAGAGAAATTTCAGTAAATATTGTGCAAGCGTGCTGTGCCCCTTCACCTCCTTGAAGATGTGCTTGGTTTATAATGAGTTGCAAGGGCGAAAATTCTCATTTTCACTGGTTTTTTTTCCTGGTTGCTGTACTGGCCTATACATGTAAACATCCTTTTCCAAGCTCGCTTCCCTTTAGGTAGTGCCAAGGTTAGGCTGAAATTGTGATACACAGTTTTCATCTTTTTACTGTTTTGTTTTGGCTCAGTTTCATCTTGCCATAAGCATCCACAAATAGTCCAGCTTGGATAGAAGGCTTTTATATCAAGAGAGAGTAATAGGGTATCAAAAATTAAGTTTAAAAGTTTTTTAAACTTTTTACATTTAAATTTAAAATGCATTATAATTATATCAATGCAGAAATCTATATTTAAAAGTGTTTTTGAATGTGTTGGTAAGAAAAAAATTCTTTAGACCCCAATAAGAGATGTGACAAAGTGAATATGATTAGTGAATGCATTTCCCATATGTGGGGAAGAAGAAACCTGTACAGAATAAAATCCCAAATATTTTGAATATATTATTCTGTAATTTCTTCCTTTCATAGTCAAATAAAAATATTTTAAATAATCTATTTCATTAAAAAAATATGTATTTTCAGGAGTTAACAGCAGCTTAGGAATTTACTGTAAATTAAGAGCATTATTAATATAGTCACTTACTGTAAATAAAAAGCATGATTAAAATAGTCATTTGTTACACTGCCACAGCAAGGGATAATTATAAAACATAATTCCTTCCTAGTCATAGAAGTAGACAACTCAAGTGACTTACAGTCAATAGTTGCAAAAGTATAAATGGATTCTGAGAGACTCTGTTTTGGCAGGGAGTATGTTTTATTCAAAACCAGGAAGCATGTTCACAAAAATTTTTAACAAATTTATTTTAGGAATGTTCTATATCTTTATGTCTCAAGAGGAACTGCAGTTTATGGAAACTTTATAAAAGTCAGAGACAGATCAAAAATTGAACATTCAGTTTTTTTCTGGAAGAGAAATTGAGTAGGCATGGAGAAAAAAAAAAGAAAAAGGAGAAATTGAGTAGGCACGGAGAAAAAACCCAAAAACTGGGGAAATAACCACTAGAAAATTGCCTTCAGTGGAACAAGGGAGGAGGACAGCAGGATAATTGCCCTTCTACATCAAACAGCAGCAGCTCCATTTCCACCCCCATGCCCTCCTGCAGTGCTGGGATCAGCAGAAGCGAGTCACGCTCTCGTGTGTGCCCGCATTTGTCTCCAGGGTGCACGCTTGCTCAGCTGCAAGATAAGAGTTGGAATGTTCTCTGCTTCAAGATATGACATATCACGGAATGATTACAGCTATCCACCTACTAGGCTGTAGGTTGCATGGTCTACAATGAGAAGCCTTGAGTTCAGAGTCTCTAGGTGTAGAGGGTAAATGTTCATTGATTATTATGCAAAAGGGAGAAAGCGTGGATTTGGGTGCTTACGTAATAAAGGAAGATAGCAGCAGATTGGATTTATCATAAACCTGATTTGTACAATGCTTTTTTTTTCTCTCTGGCATTTACAAAGACTTCAGATGATTTTCAAAAATAGATTGGAATGATGTTTTAGAAAGAAATAATTACCTCGCTCCCCAGAACAGATGTTCTGTAAATTAAGTGCTAAGGCCTTTTCTGTACCAGTGAGATGTATTTGCAGGCAGACCTGGAACGTGGATAAGCACATTGCTTTTGGGACCAAGATAATCCCAGTCCTTGAATTAGATGACTTTGAACATCTAAATCTGGACCAGAACACACAGCAAGAACAAAGTCCGGCTGAAATCAAAGCTTAATATAAAAACAGCTCAAGCTTACCAAAGGTTTATGATTTTATGTAAGCTAAGATTTTGGAGGGTTTTGGAAGAAAAGACAGTTTTTACTGGCAATTCAAATAAATGTGACCAAAATTTCTATTTTCTCCAAAAATCACATCCAGGTTGCTCTTCTGTCATTCTGGGGGAAAAGAAGACAGGCATTGCAAATGTTCTGTACAGCTGTATTCAACTGTGTTCCTAGAACCTAATATGCAAAGACAGCAAGAATGAGCTGACTGTGGTATAAATGATAAACTTACAAAAGCTGTATTTTATGCATTTGGTTACAGATAATGCTAAGAAATGGACTGGGCTATTTAACACATTCTCCATGCTGTGAAGTCCCTTCAAAAGGGTGCCTATGAATCTGGCATAGAGTGAACCTGTACAGATATCTCAGAAAATTTGTCAGGGTTGAGAAAAGATGAAATACTGGGCCACAGAACATATCTCAGTAACAGGTGGCAGAGTCTGCACCACGTAGTAGATATCATGGGCTGAGGCAGGCAGGATTTGTGGCCAGGGCTGCAAGGTCCAGCTGTAGCCATGGCTTGGGCCATGCAGGGTGGTTGATGGCTCCTTATGCAGTACAGCACATTAATATTGTCCTGTTTTGTGTGTGCTGCTTTTGGGCCTTGTTACAATTGTTTGAATGACTTGCATTCATAGAAAATATTTAATTTCTATTTTGACAAATGACAGTATGAGCTTTAGTAACCTCTGAAGATTTTGTTTATCATATTTTAGGTCAAAGTACCACATGTCGTTGGAATGAAATGTAGACTTCTGGAACAAGTAAAGCTCTTTTAGATAAGCAGATGTTATTCCCTCCAAGATAAACCTCTAGGGATTAGGCAGAATTTGCCAAAACTGGAATCAACTGATATTCTGACAGGCATTTGAGAAATTCTCAGCAAGATCTGAATTACAGGCTAACAGACTAAGTCATTAGATTTAAGAGAATCTATAGATTTTCTTATGTAGAAGAGAATTAAGCATGGAGAAGAAAAGCTTTTCCTTTATTTCTGTCCTTGAAAATTCAGTGTGATTGGAAGACGACAGGTCTTCTTCCTGTGGCTTTGCCTCCACGTGCTTGTGCAGAGGATTATTGACAGTGTCAGGAATGTTGGGCTCCACTCCCCTGTGGTGCCAGAGTGCCAGTACTGTGTCCACACAGCAGGGAAGTCTCTGCTCCTGGAGCAATGACACATTGAAATGCTCCCAACATGTCTACATGACCTTTTCTTACAAGGCTGAACCCCAAGGTTTGGTCATAAGAGGAAAATATTTTTTACATTTCCCAATAGCAATAAGTGTCTAAGCAGCTAAGAAAATGTTCCTTGTTTTTTGTTTGTTTTTTTTCCTTTTTCTGCTTTTTAAAAATGTCTTTTCAACTTGAACATTTCTTTTGTAGCAATCAAAATGTGAGTATATGCAAAGGTTAGACCTCAGGCATCAGTTTTGAGAAAATAACGGAGGACATTTTGTCACATGTAACTCACATGGTACTCAGTTTCAACAGTCATAAAGAAAATATCGGATCCTCTTTGTTCTACTAGTCTCTACTATTATATTACCAAAAAAAAAAAGTGTTCTAATGCCTATTTCAAGAAAAAAGGTGTCAATACTCACAGTTCTAGCAGGATTTTCGTAACTGATTCCTAACTTAGTCATTGCTTTCACAATAGCCAGGATAGACTGCACTGCATTACTGTAAACAATAGGTCTGAACTCCATGCGTTCCTCGTAGGTGAAACCATCTTTATGGATGATCCTGGTGAAAAAATAAACATCACAAAGCTTTTGGGATACTTTAAAAATAAAAAAGAAAAAACAAAGAAAAAAAGTAATGAAAAGTTAGGTCAGGTGCTTTTGTGGTCAGTGTGAGAAAGAACTGAATCCATATGGCCCTTGGAAAAGCGTTTTTCAATGGTTGATCTGCCTGTTCTGCTAGAACAGGAAAAGAGCAGTTTTTGTCTATGTGAGGTTAACTCTCTGCACCCAGTCTGAGTGGATAGATGCTGGTTTTTCCCCTTGGGGAATAATCTAAAACAAAGTATTAGTCTAGAGCAGGGACCAGGCCTATCTCTGGAGATATAGGGCAAGATACATTTCCATACCTAGATCTGTAGTTTCACTATTAACAACAATATTAGTTATGGGCTGTCATTGTTTGTTCAGTCATTCTGATTTTTATCCAGAATCTTACCTAGATAGAAAAAATATTGGAAAAAATGTTTCAACACTGGGAGGCACTTATCAAAAAAACAAGAAAAAGAAATGTTAGTATTTCTTTGTGCATCTTCCAATTATAGCAATGTCTTATTATCTCCAGGCTTTGGAGACATGCATTTTACTCCAGAGGGTAAAGAGCCTTAGTAATCACTTTCAGTAATCTAATTCTGACAGAGGAATTAGAATTTCATAATCCTCCTTGACTGGAGAATGGCATGTGGTTAAAATTCTCCAAATCAGTGTACAGATTATATCACGGCTTGGAGGGATCTTTTTCCATGAGTTCTGAAAATCTGATGAAATCTTCACTGACTTTGGCTTGGTGTGCTCTCAATGAACAGACACCAAACTGCTTTGGCTGCTGGAACCAAGGCTCTATTCTTCCTCACCTCATCTGGTCAGAGATGAAGGCTATTAAATACAGAATTTCTGGGCTTTGGGGTTTGGTGTTTTACCCAATCTTGCTTGAGATACACTCTGGACAGAGTTACCTAAGTGGCCAAGTCAGCCCTGTAAAAAAAATAATACTCTCACATACACTCACACAAAACCCAGATGTGTCTTAACATCTGTTTAATTATGGATGTCAGAAAACTCAGAAGTTGCATTCTGTAGGAATAACATCTGTAGGAAAAAAAAGGCTCTCTAAAATGTTTTCCCAATCACTTCTAGATCAGACAACTCTATGAACACTCCTTTGAAGCTTCATTGGTTTTTTTTTCTGAATGCTGTTTTCATCATGAATTCAAACAAATTCTGCAAGATTCAAAGGAGTCCTGTTGAACTTGGGAGAAAGAAAAAAGAGGAGCTCATGGAGCAGAGACCCTCCATTTTATGGATGCAATCTTCTGAGGCTTTTATTCACAAAAGCAGGGCTATCATCAGATAGGTGCCTTTGATTCAATCTCAACAGGCACGATGAGTTACCAAATATTTTGCTTCCTGCTTTTCATTCACTGAAGTATTTGTAGAAACTTCATACTGCTAAATAAGAGCACAGCACAGAGATACACAACTTGGTTTTAAAAAACTTAGATTGCACATTGGAAATTATGCAGTTAGAAGCACAGAGCTTCAGAGATTTTTTTTTTTTTAGTAACTCTCATAACCATCCTCATCTTTTTATGCTGCAAGGGCCTTGCAGCATATCTATATTGTGAGTTTCAGAAGATATTTTCTAAAGCTTATTGGAAGGATATAACTTTGATTGAGACTGAAAAAATGTGATTTATTAATTAGAAAAATATGTTATTAGTCATAAAATTATTATGATTTTTCTGGAAATGGTATTTTCAGCAAAATTATTTCTTTTGTAAGCATTTATCAGTATTCTTTAGAAAATGTTGTGCTTCATTGAAAAAAATTAACTGATATTGTGGGTTTTAACTAAAAAAATCCGTTTGAAATGTCCCTGTTTGTGACAGAAAGATGACATTTTATACGAAAAAATACAATTTTTGTGAACAATTTTCCTGTAAAATCATTCATATTTGTGATCAATTTGACAGCTCATAAATGCAAAAGTCTTTAAATATAACTCTCATCTCTGCAGTGTTCTCTCCCTCCTCCATGCTGTTAAAGCTTATCAGCCTTCTTAGAGTTCTCATTTCAGAAGAAGAACTTTAATCTGCTCCTGCTTGGGGAAGCTTCGAGCACAATACACCTTACTGGTTTGCTGAGTAGGGAGAGTCTCCAGGATGGAACTCAAACCAGAAATAAATTTATCTACTATTTAACTGGAAAAAAAAGTATTTGGTGGATAGTTCTGAATCTGCTGTATTATGAGTTGCTTAGATAGTTGAAATTGTTCTTATGACATAATATTTTTTACTTAACTCTTTAAAATGCATTGGTGAAGATAATAAATAGGAGGGGAACTTAAGCTCAGAATAGTATTACCCATTGCAGGCTGCTTGATTTTTTACACCGGAAGAGATTGATGCTTACAAAGTGTGATCAAATATAAACAGCTGCAATCCCTGTGTACTTTTTCTGGTTTTGGACATGTTTAGGAAACAGGCCTGGACATCTTTATGAAAATAAGACTAAACACAACAACAATATTTTATCAGGCTGTGCAGTAAAGGAGGACTTTTGCTATCAGTATAAGTATGGTCCCTTGAACTTTGGTGGATTATTAATTTAAACCAGATACATAATTAGCATTTTGGTAGCCTTTAAAACAAAAAAACATGTATGAATTTAGTTGTAACCTGCTTTACTAGATATGAAAATACTATCAAACTAAAATGTAAATCAGCACCCACAGGCAGAGAGATTTGACCTTCCTCTTCCAAGGCAAGTGAAGCTCCTGACTTCAATCTGTGAGACACCTTATACACTTTGAGCAAACAACCACAAGTATTCTTGCAGTGGATTTATGATGCACTCACAGTATCTCTATAACCAGATAATCGGTCCAAATTCGAACAGAGATTTCTGCATATGAACTTGTACAGCCTCTTTTGTTTGTTTTTTTTTCCAGGTTGATTAATGTATAAAGACTTTTTGTGTTGATAATGTTCTTACTAACAGGAGTTCTTACATCAGTCCCTACCCATTGCATCATGGGTAGCAGCTGCTCATTCTGCAGGCAGCTAAACATATTCTCCCCTGGCCTGTGGGATACCTTTTTAACCTCAGCAGGAGCTCTGGAGACCAAGAATGATCTATAGAGGCCAATTTGGGGAAAAAAAACAACCAACCAACCAAGAAAACAACCAACACCACCAAAATAACCCCATCCCCCCAAAAAAACAGGAAGAAAACCTTCTCTGTTCTATGGTAAAATGTGAATATTTTAATACTTGCTCTTGAAATACAGTGAAGTCAAATGAAATTAATAGGAGAGATGATTCACAGCAAGTGTAATTTAACTGTGGAACTACTTGCTGTAGAATGCTGTGGATGTTGTTTGCATTGGTTCAAGATCCAGGGATAGACATGGATTAACTGAGGGCTGCTATAGACACAGAGTGGTGCTGTCTTGGTTTCAGGATGGTTCCCAAGCCACAGATCATCAGATACTGCCAGGGTATCCAGCACAAGTGTGTTGGCTTGGCTGCTCTGATGGTCTTCTGCAAACATCCTCCATTGGCATCTGCTGGAGACAGGGTGTGCCAGGTGGATCAGCCAGCACTGCTTGTCTCACACCAGCTCACTCCCACTGCAGCATTCCCACCAAAGCCAAGGAAGCAGATTCTCGTCTCCGTGCATGGGACCAGTGCATGATTTGGTCAGTCAGATTTGACTACCAATCCACCTGTGTGCCTCAGACATTTTGTAATTTTCTTTATATTATGTTTGAATGGAAACTTGATTTGAATGATGTTTCTTTGCATTTTATTCAAATAAGCATAAACATTGTAATAAGACTTTAGCTAGACAGCTTATACTACAAATACCAAATTCAACAGCTGATATGCATTTTCAGATACTTACTTCATTTGCTTTACAATAGTGCTCTTTCCTGACTCTCCAGCACCTGCAGAAAGGGGAATGTTGAGAAGATATGATTGATAGATGAATAAGAAGCAAGTATTAAAAATAACTCTCTGGAACACAGAATTTTCTATCTATGAAGAGAAGTATGAATGTCTTAGTTTCTCATTGTACTAAGTATAAACGCTCTCAAATGTCCATTTGGATTTAAAAAGAACAAAGTCTAGGTAAAAGTATTAATATTGAAAAGGAAAGGGACACTTGAAGTGAATGTTTAGTCAATTAAAGAAAATTACAGAATTTTTAATTAGCAAGTAAATAAAATATGGATATTTTGCTTTCATCTCTGGCAGATGGGCAGGAAAACATGAACAAAGTACAGGCTCTGATAGTGTCCCATTTATTACCTGATTTATAGCTGCTCCTTTAATGTGTATTATGACCTGTAAGCCAAGTAAACCAGCTCCATGCCCTTCAGCCAGCTTCCATGACCAACTGGAAAACCAGAGTGTAAAGACTTACATGTGATCTAGCTCATGATGCAAAGGCAGCAGATGAGCAAAAGTCTTGACACTGTTTTTTTGCATCAGTTCTTCTGCCACACTGTTTTCTGCCATGAAGTATTGTGGCTGAAAATGGGAAACCTGCAGAGCAGTGGGCCAGCTCCACCCTGGGAATGATTATGCAGGAAAACCCCACGGCTGCTGAGGAGGTGCAGACATTTGTTTACACAGCCAGTTGAAGAAACCAGGCCATAGGTTTGGCCAGATTATGTACTACTAATTAGGCCTTTTATCTCATGGAAAGTGAGTAATCATAAATCAAAGTGTCTCCACTGCAAACCAACACCAGTGACTATCATCTTCAGTCAATGAGAGTGATGAGGGTTGGCAAGAGCTGCCAAAGAAGAGACGGATTTTGAAAGCACCTGAAGAGAGGATTTAACTTTGGGAATCCATGGGACAAGATTCATAGCATCAGAGAATGTGCTGGTCCTCACAAGACACCCCCAGACTCATACCCTGTGCCTGAGAGCATTGTCCGAACACTTCTTGAACTCTGTCAGGCTGGTGCTGTGACCACTTCTCTGGGGAGCCTGTTCTGGTGCCCAGCCACCCTCTGGGTGAAGAAACTTTTCCCAATATCCAGTCTAAAGTTCCCCTGACACAACTTCATGCACTTCCTTTGAGTCCTGAACCAGGCTGAGGATGGAGGCCGGTGGAACCCCAGCAGTGACAGGTCCCCAGCCTGGTGTCCCCCCATTCACTGTGACCTTTGTGCCTGACCCGTGAGCCCATTGCTCATCCACTGTGTAACTCCAGCTGTGCGTTACTTTATCTAGAAGGATCTTGTGAGAGAAAGTATCAAAAGCTCTGCTGAAGTACAAAAAGATTAATCACTGCTTTTCTCCTTGTAGATTGCTGTTTTCCTCATGGTATGGTGTCAAATACTTTTGACAAAACCAAAATCCAAGGCCTAAGTTTTTTAAACAAGTTCTTCTCAGTAATTGGAACAAATTGATTCCTTTTAAAACAGATTTTGTAAAGGTAACAGTATTCAAATGAAAGGGATTAATTTACTCAAATGAATCACAAAAGACAGCAAACCATACTCAAAGCATTTTCGGAAACCCATGATGTGAATGGTAGAAAGTGTGAGAGAAAAACAAGCCCATGCAAAATGGGCTGATGCTGCCATCTGTCACAGTTTGGAAAAAATGCAAATTTGTTGTAGATCATTTATTATCCTTTCAGTGACCTTCTGAAGAACTTAGTAAAGGCCTGTCAGCAGAGTAGTGTTTGCTACACTTTTTGTAGGGAAGCCTGTACTGAGAATTCATACATTCGCTTCATGGAAAGATGCCAGGAAACATAATATAGAAATTAACTTCTCTTCCAGATCTGAAAGATGGTGTTAAAATAGAGTGAGAGGCATAATTTATATATTTTGGATGCATTTTTCTGCCTCTGTTTGTCTTTAATTTTCAATCCAATAATGCTTTTATCTAAACAACAGATAACAACTTTCAGACTTTTGCTTCACCATGGAGTATCATCTTAGTTGTAGCAGCATTTTTACCCCAGGAAGTGTGTCAGGATTAATTTTCTTTGCACCTAACTTTTTATTCCTTCCCTTCACCATGTACCCTCCTCCTTTGGCCAGTCCCTGGTGCAGAAGACCAGGGATAGGGATGTATTTCCACCTGCTGCAGTGGATTTCTTCTTGCAGAAATAGTGGCAAAAGTGCATCACAGAAGACCTGGTGCGACTACACAGGGAGCTGAAGGCATCTTCCTTAAGCCCAGATTTTCTGTATCATAGACAAAATCTTAGGAGAAACAGTCTTGTTCTGAAGCTCAGAAAGGACTTAATTAAACTGAGTTTTAAAAAACTCTGTCAGCTGTGATGATTTATAGCTCCAGCAGACAGGTACTAGTGATAATAAGTCATTGCCATATTTTATATTTCACATATTTAAGATCTTAAATCTTAACTTAAATTTACTTCTCATTTCTGTCTTTATTTCCTTAACATGGGTAACTGCACAGAGAACACTGGCACAAGAGTCTCAGTCAGTGCCTGAAACTCCGGCACAGTTCCTGGGAGGTGAAAGATGTCCCCACTGCCAGAAACATCGACATTTCTTCCCAAAGATCACCTCCACCATGCCACAGGGCACGCCACATTCACCTTCAGTGAGGTGCTGAGCTCTGGCTGGCTGTGACCTGCATCTCTCCTTGCTTTGTGTATTCCAGAACTGCATCCCGCCCTGTGCCAAGCCTACTGTGGTTCTGGGCATCCTGGGACTGAAGAGCAGGCTGAGGAGGAGTGGTCATACAGCAAGGCTGCAAAGGAGCTGTCCCCCAGCAGCTTGACACAGATCTCCCTCCAGCTCTAGGAGTCATGTAGACAGAGCAGAAATAGGAAAAAACCCAGAGGTGTCTTGAAACCCAGTGAGAATCTCACAAATTCAAGTGGAAACAGAACCCAACCCCTCAGCTGTGATTTGACATTTTTGTTTTTCTAAGCAGAATTTCTTTGAATAGTTGTGGAGAGTATTAGCTTTCAAAATTAGCATCTGCTCAGAAATTCTTATATATTAAAGTTCTTTTGTGTCTCAGATAAAGAATTATTATCGCTTTATAGTTATTATTCCTGTGGAAGGAAATGTTTAGTTTTGAAAATTTTCCAGAATTAAACATAAGGAAATAAAAAAACCCTGCTGAATACTTTGTTTAAAACCTGTCAGAAAACCCACTGACAATGACATAAATCAGCAAAAAGCAGAAGAAAATATTCAAATAAAATTAGAAAATGCTTCCCACCCCTCCCTGAGGTTTGTCTGTGCCATTCAGAGCTCTGGATGTTGTGAACTGGAATGGAAATCATATCTTCCTGGTCATCTTATGAGACTCAACAAACTAAGTCTATAAGAGAAAGAAACTTGAGAAAAAAAATTCTAAGATACAACCCTCTTGAGAAAACAAAGTCTTTAAATATTGCCCCACCCTCCAAAAAAGAAAATCAGTATATTCCCAACAATGGGATTATTGGGCTGTCTTTGTGCCCAAAGCCTGTTTCCAGAACAGGAAGTTAAGCTCCTGTACTATAGTAACTCATTAATTTAACTGGTGTTATGTATCTATACTATAAATTTCCACATTCAGACTATGTACCAGAGACCTTTCATAGTCAGTGGAGAGAAATATTTGTTACAAAGACTAAATCAAACAGCTCAAATTTCTGCTCCCCTGAAGCAGATGTTTAAATTAAATTGTGTGAGTTTTGCCCCAAAAAGGAGTAAAGTGAGATGAGGATGACCAGTTCTGTGGCCATTGCAGATAATGAGACATGGAGTAATACTTTGAAAATAAATAAGTTAAAATGTTAATGATTGTTTAGACTGAACCTAAGTTCTTATTTCTGTGAAACATCACTGTGAGCATCAGCTATTTTGGCTGTATTTAGAATGTGCACTGCACTTTGCACACCTATAAATTGAAAGCTGACATCCTGCCAGGCATACAAACTACATGTGATATGGCAGGCCAGGTACAGCCCTGATGCAATGGAACACAATCACCTTGGAATTTGTTCCAGACCCATAAAACAACCTGATCTTTTTCAAGTATAAATATGCAGAGACCAGATTCTTGGACATGTTGGGGGATGGGATAGCTTTGATAGCATGGGAACACCCAGCACAGAGCACTTTATGCTCTTGGCTGCTGGCCAGCTTGTGAGGAACGTCAGAAAGTGACATCATTTCTCTCCTCACCCATACAAGCTTTAAATCATAGTGTGTCTGCCTGGGTCACAGAACTTGACACAAACAAACATGGTGTCTTTTCTTCTGAATACAATTTCTATTTTTTTGTAAAGGGATCTAGTGGAGGCTGTAAAGACAACACACTATATTTTAAATATTCCTCTCAGAAAAGAGTCAGAATACATTTTTTCACATTTTAGGTGTAAGGAAAAAAAAGTGATTACACTAAAAAGCTTATGATATACATCTCAATTTTTTTCTTAGTATTTTCTACCAACCTGCCCATTGCAAAAAGAAATGATGATATCTGGTCTGAAGTATAAAGGTAACATAAAGTCTGACTGAAGAGAAAGCTAGGACTATGTAGCACTAGGCTGGCTTGAGTAGAGCTGCCCTTGATTTATGAAGTCTAAAATTTGTGTAATTTCTGATATCATCTCAGAGGTGTGGAAAGATAACAGGTACAAATCAGAACATGGTAGATTTAATCCTTTCCTATCTGGCCCTTTCACACAGCCCCTGTGGAAGACATGATATTGTGCCCCCTCTGCACATTGCTTCAGCATCTCTGGTTCCAGATGTTTGAGAGACACTTTCACTCTTGTGGTGCAAAAGGCTCCAGATACACAGTTTATTCACTTCTCATTTTTTTAAGAACAAGAAAATTTAGGTTATTAATATTTTTTTAATTTTTTTTTTTTGTCTCTTCATTATGTGTTTTAGGAAGAGTTTCTGACCTGTTCAGAAGAAAAAAAAAGCCTTCCGAAACATTATCCACTGACAAATTTGAATTTTTATCATGTGTGACGTGAGTAATGGAAGATACTGTAAAAATCTATAAAGAAGTATTTCAGATCCAAACGACCACCTTGTCTCATGAAAAGAGTGCTTCCATAGCTAATGAAACTGAAATATGTTAAGGTTGGAAAGAAACATAATAGAAGTCTTTTTCATGTAGCTTGCATTGAATTTCAAAGTATTTTACTAAAAGTATCTCAGGTATATTAATAGTGTCAGAAGAAGACTGATTATATAGGAAACATTTAAAACTAAATTCCTTAATACTAAATACATACATATGTTCAGTAAATTCACCAATTTACTTGGTGTCCTGCTGTAAACCAGCTTTCAGTAATACTGTAAGGGCATAAAACCTTGAAGATAAAACAGCTTAACTTCTATAAATTCTTCTTTATCTGGAAAATTCCTCTTTGTCCTATACATTCCTCTTAAAGGATTTCTTACTTTTTCCTCATGGATAAGGTTGGATAAGGTCAAAGACAGAATGCTGAATTAGATAGATCCTGGTTCTAACACAGTGTCCCAATTTCTTTTTGTAAAACTATATATAAATTATTTTAAATTTATGGAATTTTAAATTAAAAGATTGTTCTGGGGTTTTTTGATCAACTTAAACTTTCCTCATTAAGAGCAATATTTTATATTACTGTGGCACAGAAAATCTGTATTCTTAATCAGACTGAAAAGCTTTGTACCATCCAAATACTGATGGTACATAAAGAGTACCAAAAACTGCTGTTTTCCTATTATTATTTGAGAAACCTGCTTGTCCTTCCCTTATTTATTTTGAATGATAATTGTTTGATTTTTAACAGGTATAAATAGACCTTTTTCATAAGACACAAAAAAACCAGAGTTGATTTACTTTAGATAAAGGATCTAGTTGTCTGAATAAACATCAGTTTAAAAGCATTTGCAAGAACTGCAGTTACAAGAAAGGCAAAAAGAGAAACACTCTAATGATTAAAGACTGTTTTTCTATTCATTGGGAGAAACGCTGTTAACTTTTACAAGAGGTTGTTAGAAGAAAAATATTAAGACAATGGTGGTGTTAATGTGCTCTTGGATATTCCTTGTAAGCTACAGAGCACCATGGGAATAAAAAGACAAGAATAAAGCTGTGTCAAGAAAAAGAATGTCTTTTCTTTTGTAATTATAGCCTCTGTCTTCTAATAAATTGATCACAGTGGGGATTAGAAGTAGTAGTTTTTGAGAATATTATCTCTATTCATCTGAGTACTTTTCATTCCACTCTCCATTATACATCAAAAAAGCCATTCTAAATCACTTTCTGTGTCCTTAAAAAATGGAATGAAACACTTGGCAAGACAAACAATATCAATATCTTGTGACACGTGTGGATTTTTTACCACTTATCTGACTTAATCCGCCTGCAAATTAATGCATGTAGATCCATGAAAAAAAGAGATGTCTGCTATGTTCTGTGTAAGTTTGTAACATGACATTTATTCTAAATGCAAGTTCTCATTTCTCAAATATATTCGAAGTCAAGGATTTATAACATTTAAAATTTAATACATGCAGCAACATGGCCATTTCCAGCCTATTCCTTGTGTCTTCATGAGTGGCCACAACCAGAAAATATTTTAAACATATATTACAGAATATTCTTCAAATAAATTAGTGAGAGCTGAGAAATTCACTGTACTGAAATGTAATTCCAGAGGAAAAACAATCCCTCAATGGAAAAGCATTATGAGCAATTTTTATTCTATTTACCCAACAGCAGCAGTTTGACTGTCCTGGCTTCCCTCTCTGCATCTTCCTGGAGTTTCTTTTCCAGTTCTCTGGATCTCCTGGCCGACTCCTTGCTCTCTGAACTGGCTCCACTGCCCATCTTGAGACAGTAAAAATTCTCTTTATGCAGCTGATTTACTTCTTATCAGCTTTAATTCAGGAGGACAACCATCAGTGCTTAAAGAAAATTTTAAAATCCCGTTCGACCTCTCTGGTCAGCCTTCAAATCAAATGGTCCTTTTTCACCTGCCACATGACCTGGAGATGCTGTAGGCAGGCATTTACATAGGAACACAAAAAAGAAGTGCTGTGATGTCATACAACTGGAGTTACCCATTCAAGAGCAAACCAAGGTATGCATAGATCCCTCTTCTGGTTCAGGGAGGTTTTGCTTCACACTCTCCAGAAAAATGTGCAAAACGTCTTGAAACAGGATTGTAAATAACTATAGAGTAAAATTTTCAGCTTGTGTAGCATTATGCATGCCCTGAAGCAAAAACCCCAGCACTTCCATTTTTAATTTTTTATCTTTCTCAGTGCTCATAGCTCTAAATATATGTATCCTATATTTTCAAATGACAGAATTTGAATTATTTTGATTTATTATTTTTGATTTATTAACTAGCATGTGGAATGTTTGCTGCATTTTCATATTATGGCAAGTATATTTATTTTCTTGGAATGGTAAAGGACACCTTACAGTAATTTGTAATAATTTTGCACAGACATTCCTTCATTAATATCATAATCTTAGCCATTTTTAAAAATTATTTTATTAGCAATTATCAGTTTTGGCTGAAAGCACCACACCTTTTCTTAAAAAAAGGGCACAGGCCAGATTCTCCCCATGGATGTTATATTTTCAATTAGTTTCTTCATAGTGCAGAAATATTTTCATTTCATTTAATTTTCAGTTTCAGTTTCTTCATAGTATTACAGAAATGTTTTATGTGATATGATGAAAATATCACTTGGCACGTGGTGTCAGCAGTATATTGAGAAAATATATCTACTGTAATAGTGTGGCAGTGGAAAAAGTATACAATTACTGCCAGAATTAAAAGATAAAAAATACTTTTTTTTGCCCTTTCTCTTCAGATTAAGGATTTAAATTAAATAAATCTCACCAGTGTGAAAGACTATTATTCATTCTAGACTTATACTGGCTCACTTCATAAGGTGAAGTTCTTCTGGTTATGTAAAAAGCACCAACATGAAATTACATTACAATTCTACAATCATTCACTAATACTAGTTAATAAAGCTCTAACTTCACAGTATGTAAATATATAAGGTTCAGCATGAAAATAATGTTTAAGGGTAAAATAAGCATGCAGGTTGTTTTGATTAATGTTAGAAGTATTTTTAGGTCAGAAGAGAGATGAGGAAGAGGGCCAGGGGCAAGCTCATCCCATCCCAGTGGAAAGAAACCTCCCCACAGCAGTGTGGAGCCCAGATGCAACAGGAAGGCAACTGCTACTGCCTGGGGAAGGTGAGAGTGAGCAGAACAAATATCACCAGAACAAATGTCACCAGTGCACTCATGAGCTCTGAGCTACTGGTGCTGGAGAGAGCTGTCTTCTGACAAAAGACAGGTCCTTTGCTGTGCTCATCCCCTTCAGCACTGGCTGACTTCTCAGGACTGATTTTCGACCCCAGTGCAGTGAACACACAAAGCTGTGTCTTGTCAGCATGTTCTTCAGCCAGCAGCACACTAAGCCATGCAGCTTTCGGTCTCCTTGCACCAAAATGAACAATCAGTGCTTGTTAATGCCTCAATTTTTGCATATGTATTCACAATGCAGGGAAATTCTCTGTTTTGTTAAGCTTATATTCCTACTTTGTTTATTGTTTAAAACAGGCCATCATAAGATATTTACACAGCCATAGTAGTAACTGATTTGTTTAAAAAATGAAAATAAGCAACTTTGGAAGTGTGATATCAGGGCCAGGTGTCTGTTTATCAGAACTGTAGGCAAGTACAGTGTTCCTATGGATTTCAGGGGGGTTGAGAAGTAAGCATTTCTGAAAACCAACAGAACTAAATATTAACTGATATCACAAATCCTGGAGATGAACATCATCTCCAAATTACAGGCCCAATTCACTACTGAGTTGTTCTACACATTTACTAGTACAACCCTATTAATTTTGCATTTAATTTTTGTGGTATCAAACAGGAAGAGGGTAAAGGTAAACAATTCAGTTCACTGGATAGGTGTAAATGAATCTTCATATAGATAATTTTTCCTAGATGGAAAATAACAGAAAATCAATGTCCATCCCAAAATATAAGTTTCCTAACATTCTCTGTTATTATGGCTATGTACAGGAATTGGCTTTAAGTAAGTAGATGTCTAAATCAAGCAGATAAAGAGAATGTGCATAAATAAAGATAAAATCTATTATTCCATAAACATGCAGTGTCTATATTATCCATTTTATTTACTCAGCTCTACCTTCAAACTCTTAATAGTTTACTGAAAAAAGCCCCACAACAATATTTCTATTTCTTTAGAGAGTAAACAGGATTTTGCTTTAGACATCCTCTTCCTCCTCATCATCACTAACAATGTTTTGATTGAGAAAATTTCTGCCGATGATTATTAAGCCAGAACCAATAGAGAATGCCTTACAGGGTTCAGTTGATTCTAAAATGTTTTTTAATATCTTTTCTTGAGCTCTTCTAGGAGCAATAATAAAAATATGGTCTCACCTTGCTTCTCTTCTATTGTTTCAACCACCTTAATTTGGTATGGAAATCTTTGAAGGTAAGTCTGGAAAATGCTCCTTTGAAATGAAGTTATGCTTTGTAAAGAATATAGGTTTTGGGGCTGGAGTTGTTTCTGGTGATTCACTCTAGGTGGTGCTGATTAAATATAGAGCGTTCACTAAAGCATTCTGCAGCTGTACCAGCTCTCAGACTGCCTGAAAGGTTGTTTCAAAATCTCTTCAAAATACTTGGATAGGGCATTTCAGATTCCAGTTGCAAATTTTTATTTTGTATTGAAGTTTTACTGGTCTGGGATTTTTTTGGCAAATTATATAGATTCTCCTGGTAACAGAATTCTCAAGTAACTTAGGCTTTCATTTTCAATTTCATCTGAAAGTACTAAATATGTCCTAGCCACAGAAAGAGGAATAGCTAAGGAAAGTCATACCTTTTAAATTTTGTCTCTTACTTTAGGACTTTGAATTTATAATTTTTCAGACTGGAATTTGTTAATATTTTCCACTTTTTCACTAAAATGAATGTTTTGCCTTTCCCCTGATAAAATTTAGTGGAATGACATGGATGAAAAAGGATGAAGTTTTAGAAAGAATAGATTTCTCTAAATTTAGGAACTTTTAATACAAATCCTTCTGTATGCTTCTAAATAAAGGAAGCTTGAAAAATCTACAGTACAATGCCTTTTACAAGCAGAGGAAACTGTTCATCTCTTTTGTCTGGCTACTGAATTTCTTGCAATGTGCCTCCCACTGGCAACATTTCTGTGGGAAAAAGACCCACTGAAACATTGACAAACCCATCCAGACTTTAGTAATTTCCAATGTGCAGCGATACCTGCTCAATGACAGATATTTTAGCTTTGGAGACCTGTTCTGAGCCTTATCTCTGGCACTGGGCCCCAGTCACGGGGTCAGAATGTTTGTGGAGCTGAGGTGGTGTCCCCAGGCAGGGCTGTGCTGTGTCCCCTGCTCAGGCTGCATTGACACCCTCCTGGCAGCTTTGCACAGGAATGTAAGATGGACCCAGAGGAAGCCTCATAATTCAGCAATGAAAAGCCCTGGGAAACTTTAGGTTTGCATTTATTTCTACTTAGAGCTGAGGGTTAGACTAGAGACCACAGGAAGTCCCTCCTAACAAAACTAGTTCTTTTGTTTTCTTAGAGAAATTTCAACTAGCTTTACCTTAGCTTTAATTTATAAAGCTTGGGCTTTATAAATATATTGGGCTTAAAATATATATTTGGGCCACCAAGGCCTTTGTTTTAGTTCTTTTTTTTACCCTCAATATAAACAAAAACATAGGACCTGATAGTTTTTTTTATTTGTTCTGCCTCTTCCTAAGCTTTCTGTTTCCCTTTTCAGCACAGGATATAAATATGAAAATCTAAGTGAAATCTAAGATTTTTGTGTCATTTCAGCCCCTCACCACCCAATTTGTCATCTTCTCTCTAGGAAACCTTACCAAATAGCAATAGAAAAAAAAGAAAATCTTGGCTCTTAGCTCTATCTTAGTACAGAGATGATACTGCAAAATTTGCAAAGCCATTTAGTTCTATGAGAAAGGTAAAAGGAATGGTCATTCATTTCTACTGCTCACAGAGGTGAAAAAAAAAAAGGATAGAAACAACATTACAGATGTCTAAAGAAAATGTTTTTAAAACAATAAAGAGTTCTTACATTTTCAATCCTATCAAACATTTTTCCTCAAGTATTGATATAAGCAGAAATACTTTTCCCTTTCTGTGAAAATCTTAGTCCCACTATGACATAGGTGAGCTGCTGTGGCTTCAGTACACTCATTATCCTTCATTCTGTAATTGCAGCTTATGCTGATTCAACGGAATGCAACACTGTGTGAGAAAAAAGTTACTGAGCACTAGTGGGGACTGACTGGCTGAGGTTGGTCCAGGTAAGAGCCACTGAGCTCTGACAAGTTTGCCAGTACATCAGCTGAAACACTGCCTGTGTTATCAGGAGTCCTACACCAATTTTTGACAGTAGACGTGTGGCTGAGCTGCCGTGTGCAGATTAAGAACTGGTCATTCCAAAAGTCTGAAACTTGATATATATATTTGGCTGACCTGTGGGAAAAAAAACAACATCCAGTGCAAAGCTATAAAAGCCCAAACCCTTCAGTGTCTCTTGAACCAATATTCCAGTCTGTGCTTACAGGATGCTTGGGAAGTGTTTGACAGAGCTGCACTGAGCTTGGCAACTTCCCCTGACTTCTCACATTAGAACAGCAAATATTTCAGGCCTGACCTTTCTACAAAGATTAACAAATGATCTCTCTGCTATGGTAAGTTTAATTTTTCTTGTGGTTTATTGCTGATTCACACAAGAAAATGGAAAAGAAAGGCCAGGAGTTAGTGCATTATAAAATGGTTTCAGATCTTTGAACTCATGTACTTCCCACTGGATTGTCCAAGACTCTCTCCTGCTTACTCCTGTAAGAGATACACCTGGTATGTTCAGAAAGGGGAGAAAAAGGGAAAAAAAGAAAAAGGGAATCTTAATGGGAAAATGGGTGATGCCTGCTGTCTCTGATGAAAGAATTAATTTTCTAGTACAAGGTGAACAGTCAAAAAGTACATTAAAAAAAAAAAAAGAGCTTAAAACAATGAGGAAATATTTTGTCAACATCCCACTCTGAACAATTCCAATTCCCTGTAGAGCCATATATTGACTCATCAAGTCCCATTGTTCCTTGATAGCCAGAAATTAATAAAGAGTAAATGCAAACACAATTCTGATTTGACTTGTAGAATCTTTTAAATAACAAATATTTTAACCTTTGCTTTTATTGTCAAACAAACATGCAATACAAATTATGGAAAAAAATAAAGACATATTTTCCCAGCAGATTTACATTCCTTATCTTTTATTTGGCAGACTTTTCCCAGCTAAAAAACTTGTGATTTCAATCCCCTCATCAGAATCCATGCAGCTCTGTACTGACACAGATGTGTAGTGGCTGGATAAGATATGATTTCTAAATGCTGACAAGGATGCAAGTGTGTAGTTTCGGAGATTGGAGTGATTTCCAGGATATCAACTATTCTGTGTGGAAGGTGTCCACCAGATTTTCATAAGAGCTGTTGTCATATTTCAACAATACCTGTAGAAACAACTGTAGAAGAGCTTATTCTGCTACTGAGCTAACGCACTTCAATCTGTTTTATTTAGCATGGATTCTTATATTACATACTTATGGAAGCTGACTGACATCTGCTGTGTTATATTTGTTCTTTCATTCACATTCCAGGACATAATAACTAAATAAGATCCTTAATTTGATAGGTTTTTAGAGAGGATTTTTTAAACAAATTTAAATCATTTTAATATTTTTTAAAGATTAATATAATTGTAACCCTATGTTAAATATTTAAAAGGATAAAGCATGGCACCTAAATGTGGTAAGGTAATATCTATAATATTGAAATAATCCTGGGAAAACTCTTCAACTCTTTATCTTGCTCAGTGTAACTTCTGAAAGAAAAGTTATTTCTTCAGAGAAGAAAAGTTGACTCTTACTATCGTTGTGGTTTGTAACTATTTTAGCCTCTGATTTAGTCCTATACATTGCCTTCTTCCATGGTCAGATCTCCCTAACTTTTTAAGGTCTTTAGCTGAATACCTGAAGTGTTTTCTCTCTTGCAGGTATCCTGCAGTACTGTGAGATGGTGACATGGTATACCTCATCCCAAACCATGCAGCATATGAAGGTAATATTGGGAATTTTAACTCTTTGGGGATGTTTTTTGTATTCTTCCATTCTAGTTGTGAAGCAGTGTTCTAATTAATACAACTCTAGCTGACACTTCCCCTAGAAAAATATGCATTGTCCTGCGAAGAATTCAAGGGAAAAGGGAAATTATCTCATTCTTCTCAGCTCCCACTGCCCTCAGAGAAATCTTAAACAGCTGAACATTTCTTCCTGAGCTAGGCTGGCCTCCACCCCAAAATGTTCCGTTCTTAGATAGGGAAGGAAAAACAAAAACAAAATGTTTTTCTTACTCTCCTGAATGGATTGAGCACAGATCAGGCCCCCTGGGTATTTGGGAAGGAAGATCCTAAGTACATATGTTAAGAACTCCACCCACATTCAATAAATTGATGGGAAGAATGAAAACTCAGGTCTCATAAGAGTTGAGGTCAGGACTTCAGTGCAAAGGAAAGGGAAGGGCCTACAAGACTAGTCAGACATTTTGTGAATGCCAGTAGTGTCTAAGTGTTGTTCCTTAAGAAATCACAGACAGGAGTGGGTCTACGCCTTCAACAAAGGGTCAAAAAGAAATATAATTGGGTAATTATAAAATGACATGTTGAGATGGGGAACACTACCATACCTTCAGTCAGCATATTAGTCTATGCCTTCAGGGATGATGTTTTTTGCTTCTCAAAATCAGACAATCTTTTCCAGAATTAAATATCTCTCCTGTTTTATTCTCTAAATGCTCTTAGTTCTAGTCTTTTGAGATCTTGTTTTCTTGGCAGTTACAGATGTTTTGTGAAAATGTCTCTTTAATTTCTTCCCTTTCTTTCATGTCTCAGAGTTAGCTCTATTTAAGCCTTCCTCTAACTGAAATGCAGAGCAGAATCTGCCAGTTTTTTGTACAATATCTGTTTCATATTTGCTTGTTTGAGTAATTTTCTCATTACAGATTCTGCAAGATAAGGCTGCAGGTGTTTAAGACACTCTGTAGGATAACTTGAGTTACTCCATGTTGTAGTGTTCAATGTCTGAAATGTTTTGTTTATTCTGGAAATTGATGTTGTCTTTTTGTATTTATTACTAAATCTGTTGTGGTAGCACTTTCATGGGATGCAGGGTGACATTTTCTTCAGAAGTCACTGCAGTGCCTGTCTCTTATTTTAACGTGCTGTGCAGCTGGCAAGCTGTGTTACTGATATTTCACACAGCTCTGTCAGACTATTTATCTGCGTGCCCTCTGCCTCTCCAGAGTCACCCTGATGAAAAGTCAGCTCAGTGGGCTGAGCTCTGTGGGCTGAGCTGCTGGTCGGATGCCAGGCCCTGCCCTGTGTGATTCCAGCTCACAAACCTGCTACGGTCCTGCTGGCTAAGCAGTCACAGCTCGTGCTTCAGTGTGGTGCTCTGCTTGGGTCTTATATTTCATTTGTATCTGCTCACTTCTTAAATCTCTCTGAAGCACAGATGCTGCAGGGCTGGACTCCTGTGTTTGTGATCAAACAAACATACACACAGACGCATGTATCCAATCCCATACTCTGTTCAGATTTCCACTCTGCAGTTAAACTGCTCCTTACAGACATGGTTCAGCCATGCACGCTGCTTTTCCATATCACCTGCTCTCATGGAATATCTTGTGGCATGTGACAAAAAGAAAAATGCCTTCTTACTCAGTATTTTCCCCCTGCCCTCAGTTATATGTTGAATTTATGGGCATCAGCTGTATTAGTAAACTCAAGTGTGCCTGGCAATTTTCCTGGAACTGGATTCTCTGTGCTTGTATGTCTCAGGACAGTCCCAAAAAAGAATTTGATGTGCTTATGATATCCCCTGAACATTTCATACACTTGGCCAGACAATATTGGCACAACTAAAGGCAGATTGCTTACAACCCGCTTGGTTTGAAGAGTGACAGTTTATTAATAGACCTGAGCTGGACTGTGATAATTGTTCTCAGCTCCTATAGGTGTGAGTCACATGTTCTGGAGCTGACATGGCACTTCTGTTAGATGGCTGCAGCATCCTGCTTATTTTACAGCACCATCTATCCCGATCCCTGTGTGTGGGCAATACCCATGTGACTCAGGAACACAAAACTTATTCAACAAAGTGGTCCTTCAGTGTTCTGTGGGCATCTGGCAGCTCCCTTCCACTCCTGCTGAAACCCTAAGTACTATCAAGCGAAGAGCAGAGCAGCCTCTTCCTGCATTTCCCACCAGCTTATTATTCTTCTCTGGCTTGTGGAGAGTCCTCAAGGTTAACACCTGGAAAGTCCTATGTTCAAAGAGAACAGGCAGTGATGTGCTCCCTGGTAATCTGTTGAAATTATTGGCCTGCCTGTATCCAGAAGCAGCATTTTTTGCTCAAGGCTCTGATCAGCCACGTGCTCAGCATCCTCCCTGTGTCATCATCTTGGGAAATACGCTCCGACACAGTAAGTAAGGGTAAACTGTAAAATTGCCTTGCCAAAGAAGGGCAACAGGGCTGGGGAAGGGTCTGGGGCACAAGTCTACTGAGGAGCAGCTGATGGAGCTGGGGACGATTATTCTGGAGAAAAGGAGGCTCAAGGGGGACATTATCACTCTCTACAACTGCCTGAAAGGAGGCTGTAAACAGGTGGAGGTTGGTCTCTTCTCCCAGGTAAAAAGTGTCAGAACAAGGCAAACTGGCCTTGGTCTGCACTGTGGGAGGTTTATATGTGTGTCATATAAACTGTAAATCGCCTCAGCTCAGAAAAGGTGTACCTAAATTTGAATTCTATATATGTTTACTTATTCACTTCAATAATGAAAAATGTGTTGTAAATATTTCTAAATACATGATTTTGAACAAAAATACTGCACACAGAGTATCCTGTCAAGCAAATCTCAGAATTCCCTAACACGTGTACTTATTGACAGACAATAATAAACCAATTATCTTTTTTGGTTTTTGATGAACATTAAATAGAATTCACACCCCTTACATGGAAAATACACACATGTATGAGATTAACATAAATTATTCAATAACAAAATGTAAATTGCCTTCTCTCTTTCTTTCTTTAATTCATCCTTCCATTCTCTCTTCCTTTTCACCCTAGCCCTTTATCCAAAACATACTGTTTTATGCTTGAAGCAGGCCAGGGACTAACATACCAATTTCCATGCCAAGTGTGTAACTTACTGATAAAAGAGAGATTTTGCAGTTTTTGTGTATATATACTATTTTATTGCTTGCTTTTATGTTATGCATACTCTTTATTTATAAATATTTAAAATCATTAATGGTTAATAAAACTATTCTGTCACTGCTGTTACCATCTTGAAATGTATATTTTGACATGAGTTGCAACTGTCTGCAGATTCCTATAGTGTACAAGCTTACACTTGAAGTCACCTTCAGACATTTTTATAGACAATAAAAAATAATAGACAGTTCAGTTTTCTCTCATGTTTGAAGTATGCAGTGCAGAGGTCTCATCTTTTGCTGCCAAAAGCCTTCAGCAAGAAGACTAAAACCTTTTTGTCTCACTTACACTGTCACAAAAGTTCTTCTGAGCATTTTTCTCACTAGAAGAAAATCCTTTTCCTCAGCATCATCCTGGTTTTTTTCACTGTTCTAAATTCAGCAGCTCTCCAGGGAGAATTTTAATAGTGTCCTTCTCCCATGCAAGTAGCTGGTGCAGAAGCTATGGATGAACTGATTTTCTCAAAGTTGTTGGACAGCTGACAATGTCAGCAATGTCCAGAATGACTCCAAGAGACAAAGGTCAGCTTCCCAGTTTAGGACAACACTGTTTTCCAAGTTAGAAGCTTTTTCAGACTTCAGTTCCTGGACACGTCTGACTTGTTAGTGGCAGTTTCCTGCAGAGGTTACTGGAGGCTGCCCTCAGTGGATGGTGGCTGCCACACCAGAGACATCCTGATAAACTCCAGGACCTGCTGGGAAAAATTCATGAGTACTCCAAAAAAAATGTTTGGAAAAAAGACAGAAAGTTGTACAATGGCCAAAGCCAGTGATAATTTCCAACATGTTGTAACAGAAATGAAATGATACAGCAATTTTATTGATAAAATTACATATTTTGTTAAAATACTCCAGTGGTTGATCTATGAATACAAACTGAAATGGTGATTAAGGGCAATGGGGGACAGGGAATGCCCCTGTGTTGACAGCTACATTCATCTTTGTGTTGACAAGAGATCTTTTGTGTGTAGGGTGGTTGGATTTTTTCCCTATTCCTCAAGTCAAATAACACATTTAATTTCCCTTTACCAGATTAATTGTATAGTTTAACCATTCATCTAAATGTCATTTTTACAAGGACAGATTTATGTCAGATGTTGGTAACTAGGAATGGAATCCATCTCTGGGATAAATTCTACCTGTTCTTATCTTGCAGTCTGAATAATAAAACATTTGTTCAGAACTCATGTGTTTCAAAATGAAAACAAAACAAAAAATACCCAACCTCAAAAAGACAGACCAACAGAAATAAAACAAAACTGTTTTCTCTAGCAGAAAAATAAATATAAATGAACTGCCCAAGCAATAAAAAAATTGGTTACTGTGTATCTGACTACACTGAATTATGATCCACTATAGAAAAACCTCTGTTTCACTACAGGCTGAGTTCTGAATTGCTTTGAGTCTGTGTGGGTGTACATAGAAATCTTATGGGAAAAAAAAAAAAGAGATAAGGCTTTAGGAGGAGCAAAAAAGCCTCATTTCTTCAAATATACTAAGGGCAAGAAAAAAGTGGATATACAGACACCTTCTGAATATGATGCCTGTCTTAGAGTTACAGATCTGTCATAACAGGCATACCTGAAAGGAATTATAGCTGATAATATCCAAGTTAACATCGTCAAGGAGAGTTCTACCCAGAAATAACAGTACATGGCTGAAATATAAGCAGAGTTTCATAACACAAGGGAAGGTGCTTGGTTTCATCATATCCTTAGAGAAGCCTCTTAGAGCTAAGTGCAGAAGCTCATAATGGAGGTAAAAGTCTTCTTTCTCCTTGTTGCACATTTTCTGATTGAAAATACAGGCACATTCTAGACAAAAATTTTATGTACATTCACATTTCCACTTTGTAAATAAACACCAGCTGAATGTAATGGGCAACTGACCTCTTATGATCTAACTTTTGCAAGAAATACACTGATTTTTTTTTTTTTTTAAGTGTTTATCTAGTGTAATATATGCAATCTGAATGTATGACCATAAATTTATTTTATTTGTAATAGTTTTGACAGCTTAGATATGTTTTTCCATTATTAATTGATAAAGAATATGCAAGGGGATTATGGTGTTTAGGTAACAAATCAAAGACAAGTTGCATTGGACATTAGAAAATAATGAGTTTATGAAAATAATGGTCACAGTGAAAATAAAAAATAGCACTGATTTTTTTAAGTTTGGAAGATAAACTAACAAGGAAATGAAATGCAGAAGTGTTCAAATAGCCTAAAAATACCAAACAAGCATTTTCAAGAGAATGGAAATCAAATGCGCAGGTTAGAAAAAAAAAAAGGTCATAATTTAAGACAAGAAATGTTTCTATTAGATCTTCTGAAAACTTTCTAACTGTAGTGGAAGTATAGCACTGTAAGATGTTATATGTGAAGTTTATGGAAATCATAACCACAATAGTCATGTATCAGACAGTGTCATGGCAAACTAAATCCAGCATATTTAATGCAGAGAGACAGAATGCAACTTTTGAAGTTTTTGAAGTCCTAGGTACTATTACATTTCATTTCTCTTTTAATTCACATGAATCCTAGTGTGCCTTTACAAAATTTAGCTAGCTCAGTGACTTCTTCCTCAAATAGTCTTTTTGGCTATCTACAAAGATCCTCGTGATTGTTTCTCTTTCCTTCCTGAACGATACACTGAAATATTGTAACATATGCCTTAATGTAGGCCAGATTAGAGCACCCCTATTTATTTACTTTAAAGAAAATTACAAGGATTTGAGAAGCTTTGTTTAGGCTGAGGGCTTTTTTCTAGAGCCTCCAAATACATGGTCATTCCTTGTTTTTCACAGGATTCCAGGACTCAAAGGGGAGTCCTGAGTAAACAAAACAGTATTAAAAAAAAAAAAAAAAAAAAAAAAAAAAGATAAGACCGGAAAAGCTGCACAGAATTTAGTCCAGATTAACTGAGGAATTCCTAGTTACCTCAGTTTGCAGCTGCTGATTTCACCCAGATTCAAAATGGCCATTCAAAATGACTCTGACATTATGGATTAACCACCCCAATATGTGGTAGGGCTGACCTGGGCCTGTGAGGTGAGTCAGAGTGCTCAAGCTGGTTAGCAAGGTTCCTGCTGCAATCAGTGGTAGGAGCCTCCAGGAGACTGCCTGAACTCTCCAAAGAGGTGTTGAGTGTGAAATTTAGCTCAGACTTTTCTACCAACAAGAGAAAATGCTAAGAAGGAGGTCATAAAGTAAGATGTCTCTGTAGTCTAGTGGTTCAGTTCTCTGTAGTGGATAGGCACTCAAGAAAATACATATTTTTTCTTTATATCTAGTACTTGACAACTGGTAAAACCAGAATAAGGATGTTCTCCCCTCTTTTTGGAGAGTTAAACTCATCTTTTAAAGTCTGATTGAGGATGAGAGATAAGTGGAAATATCTGTGGCTGCTCTGATGAAGATTATTTGAAGGACCTTATGGCATAAAATACAAATCTGAACCTGACCACATTCAGGGTCACATCAAGCTCGACAGTGAATACTGAAATTCTCTTAATTCTTCCCCAAATTCTTAATTGTTCTTCAGGTTTCTCATTGGCACCAAAATTGGTGATCTGAAACTTATCTTGTGTGTTTTTCACAATAGGAGCATATAAGTCTGTGGAAGTCTTATTACCTTAGGAGATATGAATGGATCTTTACTTCAGAAATTCCTAAAATGTTTTGGTTTATTAAGGATGTATTCAAGACTTGAAAACAGCTATTAAGAGAATTGTTTAACTACTTTAAGCTACTTTAACTACTACCTGTTTCCTTCTTTTGTTGAGCATTTAATAAAAACTAGAACATTGCTTAGGTGGTGATAGAAAACAAAGGTCTTGGGCTGAAACCTCCTCATATTTAGGGAGGTGTGCTCATTATATTGTTCCTGATCTTCCTTCCCCTCCATCTTTTATTGTTTCACTGATTGATAATTACAAAGAGCCTGCAGAGGGAGTTTTGCAAGAGTGGATCTGTTCAAACAAGATTTCAGGGAAGCCCTATGTCTTGTTATCCAGTTGGAAATTATATTCATAGTTGAGCACTATATTTTCCAGTTATTGGAAGTCCAGGCTTGTGCTGCATTTCTGCTCAGCTGGACACAGAAAAAGGCCTGATACCCACTTGATGCATTTAAGTGCTATGGTAACACCAGGAATAAAAGAATGGATAGTGATGTGTGTCAGGGTCCCTAGTAACTCAGGGAACATAGGAACTGACTCCTTACATTGATGGCAACTAACTGATCACCAGGACATTTACA